CTATAACGCGGTAAGGTTTTTTGGCTCCCGAGGACAGTGTTAGATCGGGGCAGAGGTGTACATCTAGTGTGTGTTTGTACTCAAGGAGGCATAACCTTGAAAGAGAGTCTACTACTGAAGAACAGTACACACTGTAGGGTTTACTCCAAGATCTGGAGCAGTGCTTGCTCACAAATCTCAGACTGCAACAGAAGCCACTTACATAATCAGCCAGAATTATCCAGGCTCATCAGGTCACTATCTAAAGAAGTGTTTGACATGGACTATGACAAACTATAAAGGCAGAGTGCATAACATTGATTTATACAATAGGTTAGAATGATTCCACCAGAACAGCAATGGATTCCACTTTGTTTTTTAACCCAACTATAAATAGAAAAGCAAGAAAACCGCTGAGACTGACAAAATTGTTGAGTCTGGATTATGGGCATTTGAAATCAATGCAAGAGCATTGAGTGTTAGAATTAACCAGGTCAACTAAAAAGAAAGATTTCAAACGTACTCTAAGAATGCAACGATCAGTCAATGCTGTACGAGTGACTGGCTATTTTTTCTACAGAGGTTACACAAGAAGGGCGTGGAGTGGTCTAATCCACATTTGCTAAATCACCTTATTTTTCATAAACTACTTAATGCATACAAAATAAACTGTGCACTTTTACACTCAGCAAGTTACGGCAGCCTTGGAGAGAAACCCACCGCACAGGACACTGTGTTTTCTTTTAGTCTGCTTTCCTTACAGTTTTTCGTTACAGGCACCTTCTGAAAATCAAGGTAAAAACTATGATCAGTACTTGAAATTTAAATATTGATTATTACTAAGTCTTAACAGAACACAATTTTTAGGGCCATTAGTACTGACTGAAGACCGTTTCCAGGATCTAAAAGCATTCTAATTGTAACTGTTAAGTGAAAATACGGCAGAGCTTGTGTCCTGGGACGTGTTTCCTACTTCTAAGGCTGTTGACAGGTCTCTCCAGTCGTCAGACCATTCTCCATTTTTTTTTAAAAAAAAATCAGATACAAAAGTCACTAGAACGTGAAGCTCTTTGTTGCCCAACTCACATTAAAGACATACCTTGTGATCAGCTTGTTGTAAATCAATTTCTTTATATACAGGACCATAATTAGGCAAATAGTGTCCCTTATAATATCACTGCTGAAATCATAATAATTATCTACACAACAATAGACTGCTATCAAATGCAAGATCAAGGAGAAGTATCTGGAGAAGGGTTACAAACATCTGCAATATTAAAGGGCATCTTCAAAATTCCTCTGTTACATCTACCCCACTTTATATATCAATACATATACCAAGTAGTTGTAATGCTTCAGTTTGGCAACAATTATAAAACAGAACTTGAACACAAATGATCAGTTAAGTATATAGCTTACTTTGCCGTTCTGTAATGGAGCACCAAGCGATGCTTGTTTCTGTGATTCAGGCAAACAGCCATTTAGACCAGAGTTTCTCAAATGCGGACACCGTGGCCGCATATGGCCACCAGGAGCTTTTCGTGCGGCCACAGCCTCCTGGGTGGTGAGGAGCAGTGGCCCTCCTCCAGGGCCACTAGCAGGGGTTGGGCCCAACCCCCTCTTGGGCCACAAACATCAGAAGAACAAGCAGCCGATGTGAGCTCCCCACCTTCCTGGGGGCGGTGGGGGTTAGCCTTCAGCCTAGGGGGCTTTGGGCTCTGGCCCTAGGCTCACACCTCCACCACACACACCCCATTGCCTCCGGCCGCAGGTGCGGGCCCCAGACTCCATCCGTCCCCATTGCCCCCAGCCCCCACTGTGTTCTTTGGCCCCAGGTTTTGGCCCTGCACTGTCCCCCAGCTGTGCGGTGGCAGGTGCTGGCCCTGGGCTCACACCCCCGCCCCACCTTCCCGGCCCCCACTGCGTCCTCTGGCCCTCGTCCCCAGGATCACACCCCCATCCCCTGCTGCCTCCCTACCCATCTCCCCATCCAGGGCTTAATTTGTCCCCTGGCTTGCCAGGGCTGAGTAAGTCTGTTACGACAAGTGATATTTGTATGTTTGTTAATATCACTTTTCACAGAAACAGACTTACTTGCTAGCTAGTCTAAAAATGCAAAAGAAATAAAAAGACAAGAACATGCAAAGCACCTTATTTGTTTCTATTCTGTTTAAGTCTAGTAAAGCATGGTTCTCAACCCAGGGTACGTGTACCCCTGGGGGTACGCAGAGGTCTTCCAGGGGGAGACATCAACTCATCTCGAGATTTGCTTAGTTTTACAACAGGCTACATTAAAAGCACTAGCAAAGTCAGTACAAACTAAAATTTCATACAGTGACTTGTTTATACTGCTCTATATACTCTACACTGAAATGAAAGTACAATATTTATATTCCAATTGATTTATTGGATAATTATATGGTAAAAATGAGAAAGTCAGCAATTTTTCAGTAACCGTGTGCTGTGACACTCATGTATTTTATGTCTGATTTTGTAAGCAAGTAGTTTAAGTGAGGTGAAACTTGAGGATTAGCAAGACAAATCGGACTCCTGAAAGGGGTACAGTAGTCTGGAAAGGTTGAGAGCCACTGCAGTAAAGAAGGGAAACAATGGTACATTATTTTTATTGAGTCTGCAAAAAAGCCCTACATCAGGGGTCGCCAACTTTTGGCATGCGGCTCGCCAGGGCAAGCACCCTGGAGGGCCGGGCTGGTTTGTTTACCTGCCGCGTCCACAGGTACTTGGACTCCCACTGGCCGCTTCCAGCAGCTCCCATTGGCCTGCAGCGGCCAGTGGGAGCCGCGATCGGCCAAACCTGCGGACGCGGCAGGTAAACAAACCGGCTTACCCTGGCGAGCCACGTGCCAAAGGTTGCCGACCTCTGCCCTAAATAAATAAATTAGGATGATTTGGACAGGTGTATGCACATATTTGTTTTTCCTAAAGTATTTTTAGGAAAAAATTGTCGGGGGGGTATCAGCAAGAATTGGTGGCCGCACTCTGAGACCACCAAAATTTTTGTTGTGAGAATCCCTGATTTAGACCATCATTCTCAGAGTCTTCTGAGACCAGTTTGGGAGTAGGACTAAGTAAATTATTCTGGGATCGGAATTAAGAGCTGCAGATACCACAGTAACATTTGTGGGAGCTAGCCTCGCTGCAGTGCTTGGCAAAACCATGTTCAGATTCTCAGAGCAGTACCAAAAAACCCACACAACAGTAACCCGCTCAGTTGATGGAGCAGTATTTCTAAAATCCAGGGTGTCCTGTCCTCAGCCTGACTAACCAATGATAGGTGGACCGTTAGGAAAAGGGGTTAATGAAGGAAAAGCATAAGTCAGCCAAAATAATGAAGATTCCCCATTCTTCCTCAGGAGAAAAAAGTTCTTAGTGCTCCTCACTGACCATTCTGTTCCTCATTAAGGGTTCCATCCAACACACCTATAAGCTCCTGAATTGGCCACTTGACACCAGGCAACTTATAGGATCAGCTACAGTACAGTGCAAATCTAGATATGCGATAACAGACTATACAAGAGGTAAAAATACATGCATGTGCATCTGAAGGCAGGACCGAAATTTCTAGTTTATAAATGGATATTTTTAAGCAAGACTAATGGGTACAAAGCTAACCTCTGCGCAAATGCAAAACCACAATATTGAGCAGGACAGAAAACACATCAAAGCATTCAGAGTGCTAGTGCAATAGCCAAGATTTAACATTTGCAGTATGCCCTAATATAGCTATTGTGTAACGTGCATTTGTGGACCGAACTTTACTATAGAAACTTCAGCTCATCCTCTAGGTTAGCAGAGTCTAGGAGTGTTGTGGAAGGAGCATGCTCAGTTCTAGGAAAGAGGAAGAACCCCACCTCACTACTTAAATTTGCCAAACAGTCGCGCTGACAGATTGAAGAGAATCTTCCAACTTCTGATGGAGGATTTAGTGTAGTTGGAGTCAACGGCATTGTCTATGTGAAAGGATCGTCCAACAGGGTGGAACAGCAAAAATCCTTTGGACTGGATCTAGCTCACCTAGACAACTGAAAACAAATCTACTGGCCAAACAGTAGATTTGAACTGCCACTAACAAAATCAAGTGATTTCTCTTCATCTACAGCAGTGGTTTTCAACCCGTGGTCCGCGTACCCCTGGGTGTCAGCAGACTGTCTAGAATTTCTAAAGGGGGTCACACCTCCATTTGAAAATTTTTAGGGGTCTGCAAATGAAAAAATGTTGAAAACCACTGATCTAGAGGAACCACCACCTTGATTTTTAAAACAGTATATAAACTGCTGTCAAGTGACCCAAGTAAACGAACTGGGAGGGGAGTGGCGGGGGGGAGAAGGGGGCGCGGGAGAAGGACGGGAAGGGAGAAAAATATCCTGCCAAACTTACTTTTCAGTTTTACTAATCTTTGATGTTATAATACTAACTAGTACAGCGGTTCTCAATCTGGGGCCGCCGCTTGTGTAGGGAAAGCCCCTGGCGCACCGGGCGGGTTTGTTTACCTGCCCCGTCCGCAAGTCCGGCCGTTCGCTGCTCCCACTGGTCGCCGTTCACTGCTCCAGGCCAATGGGAGCTGCTAGAAGCGGCGCAGGCCGAGGGACGTACTGGCCACAGATTCCAGCAGCTCCCATTGGCCTGCAGCGGCGAACCACAGCCAGTGGGATCCACAATCAGCCAAACCCGCGGACAGGGCAGGTAAACAAACTGGCCTGCCCGCCTGGGGCTTTCCCTACACAAGCAGCGGCCCCAGATTGAGAACCACTGTACTAGTAGGTATAGTCAAATAGATAAGATTTTCAAATTGACAACATCCCTTTAAGTAAATCAAGCTCTGTATGATGATTGGAAGACAGAAGTTAGTTGTGTCTTCAAACTGAAGGCAGGGGAGAAGAAATCAGAATTCACTTAAATACTTTGAGTGCATGCACTCAGAGGAAAAGCACTCTCCTCCCCTCCATTCTTACCAAGTTTAGAGTTACAACTCCCCTCTGCCCCAAATTCAGCAGCCTGGAACTGTTCTGAAATTCCATCAAGCAGAGGTTGCCTTGTCTTCATGGTGATTTGTCAGTTACAAAGCAGAGATGTTACATATGGTCAGCACCCTCAAAGCGATATAAATTAGAAGTATGTCCATGCACCATAAGCAGAAGATTCAATTTCACAACTTGGCATGGGAAGTCTTTAGAGAGATACTGGAATAACATTAATCTAATTTCATGGCATGCTTGATTCAGTGATCTAAAAATCTTGGTGAGACCAGAAGAAAGGGCAGAAAGGCCTGAAAATTAGGCTCTTGCTTAAACTGCATGCATCAGTGACATAAATTCTGACGTTTAGTT